ACGATTAGTTTCTACAACGGCTTGACATTCAACACATTGCTTCCGGCAAACCTTGCACCACTAATTATACGTTAATTCAGAAATTCCCTGTTTAACAATGCCCGATACAACATTGGTCTCAAAACTGTTACTCTATAAAATAAATAGCAGTTGTACTGTGTGAAGCCATTTATAAAGTTAAAGGCTGCCAACAGCCGCTCACACACCCAACTTAACACACGTAAATCTTATTTGGCACAAACAATTAAACAGTAATTATAATTAGTGTATATAAGACCATTTTATTTAATGTATAAAACTATATTTACTACCTGTAATATTATTTCACCAACCTAATTAAACCCTAACATTTACAAAATATGTAATAAATTACGCATCTCCATAAGTAGTATACTAAAACGTCCCGACCCTGCATAACGCTTGTTCAATTAGCTGTCTTTTACAAAAATTAATTCCAAGCGTGTAAAGGTGTATGGCTGTACATGAAAGGCTTGTTCCCATTTAAAAACAATTCTCTTTTGACTCGGAGTCTCTTTTCGTGACTCAACAGAATGCGAACCAAGCACAGTTCCCCACTTTTGCCCTACATTTAGACATCTTTCTTTGCAAAGGGTAGTCAGAGTTACACAGAACACAGCACAGAAAAAAGGGGGCCCACACAACCAGAATTCAGACCTGCTACTCCGGTGTTTCAGGGACCTGAGATTAGACACCTTCAGATCACGCGAAATATATAAAACTATTCATGTAGTAAAGGCAGCTTGTTCAATCAGAGATTAAATGAGGCGATTTTCTAAAGCATTACTGGGGATACTGGGAACGACCCGTTCTTCAAGTGCCTGAGCACTGCGGGTCCCAACTTTTCGTTGGCTCGATCTATAGACATTCGGTAGGACTCCTTGGACGAGGGATCGGCCCTTCGCAAGGCCTCTACGTGTACACAGGACAACGCGGACAAACATCCATGGCTTGAGTGGGATTCGAACTCACGGTCCCAGCGACCAAGCGGCGCAAGGCCCACGCCTCAGACCGCGCGGCCACTGCAGACCCCTTTCTTAAGCATTACACATTTATAAAAAGACTTTCTAGTTTACTGTAACAAATTTTCTCAAAAGCAATACAAATATCAGTTCCATCGTAATACAATAAAATTAAGAAAAATTACGAATCACGTGACAACAAAAGGCCGTACTCCAGCCGACATGATTGTACGCTGGAAGTTCAACCAACTCACATCATCACTTTCTTGATATTCGTGATAGTAACCACAGTATCCTCAATCACACTGGTCATCGTATATAGCGTAAGTTCAAACGGAAGCCATGTTTTAAACAACAGGATTCACAATATCCCGAAGTGGCTCGTGATAAAAACATCTGATAAAACCGCAAATCTGTTTCAAGCGAGAAATTTTCCTTCATTATCTTCCACAACAGCAAATTGCAGGCCTACGTCTTATAACATTAAGAGGATCATGGTTGCCGACGTAACTAATTATTTATTGGTTATAACGATCAGGTCAGAGCAGCAGTAGAGCTCTGACACTTTTGCCGTCGTTCTATTACTTTCAACTTCATTCTTTTTTGGCGGGGGAGTCGTTTTCATGATAAATGTACTGTACTGTAAAACTGGATGGGAAAGCTATTCCCATTCCCCCCTCTCTAAACTGTATCCGGTTATCTGAATCAAAATAAAACACCATGATTACTTCCGCCATGACTATTCCAGCCTCAGTACTGAAATCTCCTAGCCTTTCATCATTCGTAATAACACTAAACATTAGGGCTTACACCGACGAAATTTAAATATCTAAAAAGTTTTATAGACAATTGATTTTGTGACAATATACAGCCAACGCCACATACAGCTCCTCTCTATATACCGCCACCCTAGTATTGCGCCCAAGAAAGCCTCAGAACAGAATTTCCCTATGTAATTATAAATAAATTCCCCCAATGAAGCTTCACCCCGGCTAGCCTTCATCCATTCATTAGTGCCTACACAGATGTGCCGGTAAGCATTATAATTACGTCCGATACAGCGCCATGCCTATGGTTTCCAGCGCCTATACATACGACTCCGTGGAATATTCAATTATGCGATACGCCGACTTCTTTGTGAAGAAATAAAACCTATTCAGGGAAGACGCCATGTATAGTGTCAGGAAGACAGCTAAGTTTCTACTTGGGTCAGTTGTGTTAATTGCGATAGTTCACTTCAGACAACTGCAGTATATTAACCTGCTATTGCAGAGGCGTTGCTTTTAGGAAGGAAACGATACCAAGAGTAAGCTTGTGTAGTAAAAGGTAAACCTAAAAGGTTTCTGGTATAGTTGGCGCAGTACTTTTTGCCCGGTGGAGAAGCTGGCGGAGCTACCGGACGGGCCTATTCTGTGTACCTGAGGTGGCACGCCCAGTGTATTTCTTTTGTTTGGGCGTTCAGTCCGATAAGCTCCACGGCGCAGTCAGCATTATACCATCGCACAAGTGACTCGCTCCTAGCCTTCCCCTTGAAAATTCCACCGGCCAAAAACTACTACGCCGACTATAGAACAGTTACAGATCCGCCTATCTGTTGGGGTCTGAAGATGTTTGTTTTTGGGTTGTAACGCTGTGTAGTCTGGCCATGCTGCCTTCATCATCACGTTCTATTGATGAAGGCAGCAAGAACTTTTACCAGACCTCTATTAGAAAACACGGCGCTACTACCCAGAAGACAGCATTTCTCGTTTATATTATCGTGTTCACAAGAGCTCCTATTCTGGGACAGGTACGAGGTGCGATCGGAAAGTTTCAAGACTGTGTCAATAGAGGGCGAACCGGATGTAGTACGAGCTTCTGCCGCTAGGGGGTGCTGCCTACACGGAAACCTATGAAATGCTAAAGCAAGCATTTGGGGAGTCCGCAATGGGTCGTGCACCAACTTTTGTGTGGCATTCACGTTTTAAAAATGGCCGAACCTCTGTCGATGATGACGAGCGTTCTGGACGACCATCTTCGCGCACAACGCCCGAAAATGTTACGAAGATTCGGCAGGGCATTCACGAAGATCGACGTCGTACCTTCAACGACTTGTGCGACATTGTTGGGATAGGCTATGGGACCTGTTAGCTGATTCTAAAGGAAGAACTCCACATGCGACGCATCGCAGCCAAGTTTGTGCCAAGGCTCCTGTCTGAGGACCAGAAGCAGAATCGACTTCTCGTTTGTCAGGAGCTCAAAGATCTTGCCGGATCGCCGGATTTAGCTCCGTGTGACTTCTTCCTCTTCCCAAAGATGAAAATTCAGCTAAAGGGAAGGAGATTTGAGACGATAGAAGAGATTCAGGCAAAATCGCAGATGGTGCTTGACAGGCTGACAAAGAAAGATTTCCAGGGATGCTTCCAGGCTTGGCAGCGGCGCTGGGATCGTTGTGTTCACTCCCAGGGGAACTACTTTGAGGGTGATTAATGAATTTAATACCTGAGATAAGTGTACGGGTTTTTATAGGCGCAGTCTGTAAACTTTCCGATCGCACCTCGATCCACGACCTCACGTCCTATTTTATTACAATGCCTTCTAACATTATCTCCCACCTGCATCTAGGTCTTCAAATTGTTTTATTCCCTCCACGGTCTGAATCTAAATTACTGTATGCAGTTCTAATCGCTTCCACAAGTGGTGATATTCCGCTATAAAAGACTTAACAATTGTCTACCTCAAATTACTCTGGCGTAATTATGAGTACGGAAACAACGTCATTGTTTAAGCGGCCTTCGTTTTACGCTCCGATAACAATGGAGATACTAAACGCGCACGTCGCGATGTTCTGTCGTGACTACATTCTGTTGAAAGTTCTTTATCGTCCAGGTAATTACTAACTAAGGGATGTATTTTCTGATAATAGGGATCTCACGTATAAGCCGCATGTTCCCTCATTAAGGCACAACAAAGGAGAAAACATTTTGTAGCACTCAAATGACGATGTTTCTACTTTTCACCCAGGCTTATGGATAACGAAGCAGGATGTTAGGCGGAGTTGTATAATGAAACATTCAGCATTTAACTACAACGTCATATTAAAAGGATAACAAGTTGCTAGATGATGCTGTGCAATCTCTACTCGACAGGAATCTAACAAGCGGAATTTTTTTCTTAGCCTTTTGTATGGGATTTATTTACAGTACATTTTATTTTACACATTGAGTTTTATATTCAGAAATATTCAGTATAGAATTCCAGCAGCTTATAGTAAAAAGGAAATTTCACTGGCGTTATTAAATAACAATTAACAGTTTATATCTTAATTGCATCATGCCTGTGTTCCTCAATACAATACTTTTATTTTCCGTCGTTACACAAGCTTATTGTTAAAAATCATATAAAATTTCACATAAAATTGTTACATTTTAAAATTGACGACATGTTTCGATATACAATTCTATCATCGTCAGGTCTATCAAAATTAAAATTAAAATCTGGTGTATCTGTTGCTCTGCTTATATTGCTTATGTTTTATCCGTTTTTATTACATCTCCAGGCTTCTTTCATTTAATTTTGGAGACGCGTCTGGGTGCCTATATCTGCAAAATCAATTTTAATTTTCATATCGTGATTCTGGCTACCGACATAGGAAATGGAATAATATTACTCTAATTTTATATTATTTTAAGGAATTACTCAAATATATCGTAATACAAGCAAAAGAAATACAATCACAAAATAACAGCTGAAAAGAATTGTCAGGCTGATTTTATTTCAGTTTATATCAGACGACCATAACCTCAGTTTTACCTGAAGTTCAACGGTATAAGATTTTTAAAAAAGGTTCCACTTTGGAACACAATCAAAAATAAAAATCTCATTAAGAACCGAAACTTTAATAATTTTACGTAAATGTCAGTTCGGAGAATATTAATCGAAATACGAGGAAATAATATTTTTCTTATGTAGTGTGATTAAGTTTGTATGTGTAATAAAATAATACCAAGAAAAACTAAGCACAGATAAACAGATTGCATATACAGAACATGTGTAATTTATTACAAACTTAAGCAGTCCCATTCACGAAAACTGTGGTACACCAAATATAAACAATGGCAATGCATTGACTGCTACAAGTACCAAGCCTAGTTCACACTGAGCTGACGAGTGTCATTTGTCACAATTCTTAATTCTTCTCATTACATGTAACATTTACACTGTATCCTTTTAACAGAGGTTGTTAGATTGCAGACCATCTGATTGCATGTTTTTACGCTGTAAGAAACATCAACATCTCTTGCGAGACGGAACGAGTCTGTCCTACCTTCAACTTGATGATGATGATAATACTAATAATATTACAAAACACGTCACAGTTATGGCAGAACAGACCAATTACTGGAAATTCCACTGCGACAAAAACGCCAGTGACTGTAAACAATGTTTACATAACGGCAAACTAAGTATGAATTACGGAAACTTCAAGCAGGCCTACATCCGTGATCTGTCCACATCCGTCCTCCAGAAATTCCCCTCAATTTCTTTTGAAACTATTGCACGTGTTTAACGCTGGAAAAGCATCGCTTCACGTTACACAACCATTCAAAACAAATGGAAGAAAATACTTGTTTTGTCTTTCCGATCTCGGAAAACAGACAGGGCAATGTTTCGACTCCACCGAGGAGTTGCGTGACCTTGATGTGGTGGTGGAACGTTGTGTTTCAATGACCCCTCAAGTTACACCGGCAGGGCCTCCCTAAGAGGCAAGAAGTCAGACGAAGAAGCAACCCATCCGTCCTCCAGGATTGCTGTGGGATGATCATAAATCGTAACTATTGCAAAACCCGAGGAAGGCCAGGCCCGGCTTAGGCTGTAGCGCCATTGGGTGGATGTAACGAGTTTCGAACTGAATAATAATATTTTCGAACCTTATTCGTTTTCTAATGCCACCATAAACCTCCCTTCTGTTTGTCTTTATACTTTCAGGACACATAAATAAAAATGTTCAAAGATGCATCACGAATGTAAACACTACGGTTACAGTTCAATTTTGAGCCTTCGACATAAAATCGAAAAACTGACCAAATGAAAGTGAAAAAATAAGATGAATATGCTCACCGCACGTAAATTTTTTTCGCCGGCACTTCAAATATGGACGGACAACGAAAACAGTATGTTGGTTAAAAATACGGGAGACACATAAGTCAGTCATAACAAAGGATTGGTTATGGTGATACAATGCAACGTTGCCACACATCACTTACCAGTCGACGTACATCGGACAGGTCTATACAGGGACTGATGACGTCTTCTGCATGTTCTTCGAAATCTGCCTGCTGCACCACAACATACTCGTGCGGCTTCAGGGCTCGCGGCCATGCCATCCTACCTCTTACTACAGCCCCACTACAGTCTGAATGCAATGCCAAACCTTTACCTTGCCTTCTCGCCACAGCAAACTTTCACTCATCAGGTAGGCTGTAGGAAGTGACATACGCCAACCGCAGTGTTGCCATACGGCAGACAACTACGACCAACTTGGAAAAGGATGGAAAATGCTAATCTACCGACAGTTCCACAGAATATTTTGAATGTACACAAGGAGCTGATGGCTCAGTCATCATAGTGACTAAGCTATCAGCTGGACGAGAGTGTCAGCATCCAGACATGCTCTGAGGCTACCCCAATCTGTTCGCCGTGGCGACAAGGGAACCACTAAACATGGGCCAATTCTAAAATGCAGAGGAATATGGATTCCGTCTCCCGTCCTTCAACGTCGAGAGCTGATTCTACCCTTCACTACGTGACCGACTTCATCATTATAAACCTAAGAACTCTAAAGTGGCAAGTGTTAGAATACAAGATGTCCCAAAAAGATGTAAACACACATTCAATGAATCAAATAAATACGTTTTAATAAACCAAACCATTACATACGTCAGCAACGGCATTAAGTGAATTAGCAAATCTAATGGAGCACCATTAGATTCGTGGCACAGTTGACAGCGGTCACCAAAGTTCATCTTTCCGGAACATTCTGTATATTAACCCTACGCCGACCAGATATATTACAAACTGATAATTAGGCCTCGTAGGTCTAACCTAGCGCTTCGCTGTATAACAAGAACCGGGAAATAGGAAACATGTAAGTTGTTACAAAGCGTCGCTGTTGAGTGGCTAATACTCGTGTTCCATATTTGGGAGGTCCTGAGTTCGATTCTCGGTCTGAAGGCCTACTATCTTGCCTGAAGTTTTCTTGTATTTCCTGGATTAACGCCTCAAAGTAATAGTGACCACTCCTTCAGTATTCTTCCAATTTCTTTATTCATAATCAACGTTTCATTCGGCTCTATACAAACCACACATTAGAGAAAAATGTTGTTACCCTGTCAATGCAGGGGCCAATAGTCTTGGTCTGAACATTTTTGGTGTTTAATATCAGAAGATAAAAATTCTCCTGCTACCTCTTGCCACTGGTAGCTATATGTAGTACCTTCTTCAGCAACATAATCTATAACTGCAGTTTTGTCCTGAAAATATGGGGGAGGTTGCGGTTACTTTTTACAGTTTTCCAGTGATTTTGTTGTGCGAGTGTTGTATGTACTGGAATAATATTTACGAATAAAGATGGCGTTTAAGGAATGACAACCAATCAGAAGAAGCATGTTCGACACACCGACCAGGTAGAAGGATCACATTATTTTTGACGTAATGGTAGGCTTTCTCCCCCCCCCCCCCCCCCATTTTTTTATGTAGTTAGCGACGTTCGTAGGGGTTACGTTCTTGAAAACCCTCGCGAACGGTACAACCGCGATGCTCTAAGTTAAGGCCTTATGGAAAAAATCGGGTTAGGGGAACCAAAGACATACGAAACACGATACTTAATGTGTATAATACATTAATAAACATGAAAAATTTATATTGGTGTTCACTGGGATGAAGTCGGCGTTCCTAGTGTCAGGGTGATCGAACGACAGTGAACTGCATAGAGAAAGAGGGAAACAAGACAGAGGGTCAGCCCGTCGCAGGATAGCAAAACAAAGAATAAATAAAATAAACAACAATGCTGGGGACACACATTTATGGATTATGTGGAATTCAAACCCACGATCCCTGTGTTCGAGAGGACAACACCCACGCCTAGGCAGTTCTAACCTTATAAAGACCGCATATATATCGGAACACTGAGCCACACAGCACTTATATTAATAGGCCTGAATATGTGTACAACGCACAGAGTAGATTTTTATGGTACTTACCATTCGAACAGAAGAATACACTTCTTGCAACGCAGGAACTCTTGGTGAAAACATCACATTTGCTCTAATTGTTCACATGTTTTTATCGTTCACATTAGCACTGACAAACTTAATACACTTCAAGCCCCATGCGTTGGCTGAGTGACAAGTCACAGCCTGAAAAATAAACCTCGTATCTAGTCAGAACCGGAAGTTAAGCGTCCAGTGTTAATCCAACCATCCACCTATTACAAAGATGTAGAATGCGTGATAAGGCAGAAGGGAAAGCTTGCCTTTTTATTTCACAGCAGTGTGACCGACGAAAGTGCAATTTATAGTGACGGATGATGGAACCGTTCATATCCCGGGATCGGAAGCCCTCACATTGTTTTAATTTAGCAAATGCTTACCCAGAAGTTATTTTAAAAAGGCACAACTGATATAAGAGTAAAATGCCAATGTTGGATTGTCACTTCCTTTGTTGTTAGGTACCTTGGCATAAACAACAAATCCTAAACACATGGCACTCCGCTACATACATCACGTTCGAAGTGCAGTATCCGGCTTTCAAACTCTATACGGAAATGAATTGCAAAACGAAAGGAAATGCGTTTTTACTCCCAATAATTGAGGCAAACAACAAATTACAGTAAACTTTCTTCACAATCATATTAGTTTAAATGCACACGAAGGCAAAAAATTTCGAGTCCGGAGGTCTTTCGAGATATCTACATTACTGCCAACGTAACAAGCCAAGCAATTCATAAGCCATTCAAGTTGTCACTAGTTTTCTATGTTCTTATTTTAAGGGCTATTGTGATGTTCTATGGAATTTTAAACCTCATTGCCAACTGTAATTATGTATATCGTGAAATACACTAAACATAAAGCTCAGTTGGGGATTTGATATATATACACAGTACAAAAAGTCTGATAGTTAAGGCTATAATTATTTATGTAGGATTAGAGGTTTTCACAGCAGTGAATCTAGATGACAGCAATCTATATTATTTACTTGACAAAAACTGTCACATATTACTTACAATGTCAAGAAAAACGCCTATAGAGAAAACTTCATTAAAAAAACATCGTATTTCTGTCAGTACAATACAGTGATGCACATTGCTTTATTAATGTAAAAATCCATCAATGATTACTTACAGTTCACACAGCTACAAGTAAAACTATATGAAAAAGTTATATTGAAAGTGATATATATTTCAACAGTACCATTAACTCACACATTAATTTTCTGCAACACAGGACACTATTTCACATCACATAACTTGTAACAGTAAATATAATTTGTCCCATGGTTCAAAATTTCTAACATTCTCAGACACATAAAAATTAATATAATTATGTTTTCAACATTCTTCAAAACATTTAATTTTGAAAAATATGTTTGGTAACAAGAGAAAGTCAGTTAATATGCACAACTGAACCATTAGTGCCAGAAACTAGTGCTTTGGATAATTTGGCGATAAACCTTTGGGTTCCCTGAACCATCTAGTCATTTAGGTAGACAAGCATCAGCCGGAAGTTGTGAATCAAGTACTTACAGCTGTGAGTATGAAGATGGCTGATGTTTGAGATGTGCTTGCTGCCTCCATTATCAGGATGATGAATACTATCAGTAAATTTCTATCAGAATAATGAGGGGTCCTGCAAGGTGAAGCAACTTAGATCCCTTGCAGAAAATAGTTAAGCCAAGACATATTTGGTTAAGACAAAGTACTTACACCGGCAGCACAAACTAGCTACATTTATTGATTATTAAATTCCTGATCTTCAGTTCATTTAACACTTGATTACAATTATTTTTTGACGTAAGTACGTCTATACTGAAGGGTCATTCAGAAAAAAACAGCGTTAGTTACAAAGATGTGTAAGATCCAGCATCGAGTCACCTTTAAACGTTCATTCCTCAGGAATAGTAAGGGTAATGTAACCTATATGTAAAATGGGATCTGGACATATTGCGTACGAAATACGTATTACCTCTTGAGCTTTCCATATGTTTTCAGATTTTACATACCACAAATTGTTTAGGTTCTACAAACATTTATTTATACAAATAAAGGCGCATCGCACTTAACGCTACTGCATATTTATGTTAGATTCTCCGGAACCGTGATTCCACTGTTAATATTTTAAATGTTTATAAATTAGCTGGAGATCAGTATCAATGACAAGACAGCATTCCTAAACTCTAGTACAAATTCAGATGTTATGATACAAATATGTGACGAAGAGACTTGTCAGGAAACAAGGCTTAAAGCCTTTATGATTTTCAGGAAAGGCAGATCTGGAGGTTAATTTTCAAAGTTGTTAGCAGGCACATTAATCAGTGATTTGGTGCTATAATACGTATAGAAAGGAAAAATCACAACTTTTAAACTTCATCTTTGTTTCTTTTAATGCCGTTAAGTAAGAATTCTATGCCACTGTGATCAGACCCTACTACAGTCGAATCCGCAATTAAAATTCTATTTATTTTCCTTAATTTCATGTTCAGTTTAACAAAACCAAGCCGAAGCATCGGTGCTAAACTTCTTTCATTCAAGCGTCTCTTCAATCAAATGTTCAAATCTGTTGTCACAAAGGAATCTTCACAGAATACAAATCATGTGATCAAGAATGTACTTCTTGGTCTAACATGCAGTCAAAACAGTACATATAGTACAATATCACTATTATTGGGATTACAATGAACATAAATCCACGAAAAGGCACCCACAAGTACCTATTTTGGAAATATTACCATTACATTTTCTGAAAGGAACTGAAGAAATTTAACTAAGAGAAGTACTCTTTCAAACTCAGGTCAATACAATGTAAAAATCTTAATAAGATTTGATAAATCATTCTAGAGTTGAAAAATCAAGAAATTTTCTCTCGTACTCTCGCTCACTTTTCTTCTTTTTCTACATTCACAAAAAAATATAAAATGTAGGTAAGTAGGCAGTTTGTCCACATTAAAAATCTCAACCAATTACAATCAAGTCTTTACAAAGGTATGACTGCAGTAATTTCAGTAACTGCAAAATTACAAAATCATTCAAATATATTCTCTTGTGCCGTGAAGCATTCAACATTAAACCAAACACCAAAAATTAGGATATGTAGCATGACATCAAGATGAATTCAAATCAATTACACTTTATAAAACAAAGTGTGCATATACTTGTAACAATTTAAACCACAAATTAAAGTAAATATGCCATACTATATATATATAACTTTTTCTGTTTCACCTATTCTATTAATCAAATGAGAAAACATAAAACGTGCACATAAAACAAAATTCTGTTCCTTAAACCACTACTGCCACAAGTTATGCGTCGTGAAACAGTATTTACACTTTCACATTTGCATGGAAAACATTACAAAATATAAGCTCAACTGTTTTTCAGTGAAACCTCTATACATCGTTCCCCCGGATGCACAGTCTGTTTTGTTCAGTCTCTGATAAGTCCCATATAAAATAGTGTTACATTTTCTCGCTTCTATCTTTCCTCGAACTGTCGTTTTATTTCATCAACCGTTCAAAAATCTTAGTCCTGGCCCACAATTTTCCAGCACTGATCTTTTCTGAGAATTTATAATAAAATTTACATTGTTTTTAGAATTTAATATGATCACTTTAGAGATAAATTAATTCTGAAAGACGCACAA